CAGGTCCACCTGGGCCTCAAGACACATTCAGAATGGGTCCATATCAAGGGCTCTCATGGAAATTCAGATGCCTTGGAACAAGTGGACATTGTGCATAAATACCTGGTTATAAATACCCATGTGCATAAATACCTGGTTATAACACCAAGTGGGCAAACGTAGATGGGGACATGGTTTAGCAGCAGAGTTGGCAGTGCTGGGTTAACAGTTGGACTTGATGACCTTAAAGGTCTTTTCCAACCAAAATGATTCAGTGATTCTGTGCTGCAGCAGTGCAAAGGGCAGGGCAGCCCCCAAGGACACAAGCACAAGCCTGACACTCCTCCAGCAGGTGATCAGGTTTGCTGATGATACCTGTGTGATCAGGGTAAGAAGATGAAGGCTGGCCAGGAGGAGCTGCAAAAGCACCTGATGGGACTGCCTTGAGGATTAAACAGCAGGTAGAGTTCAGCATTTATACAGGCACACAGGGAAAAACCCAGCTTGGCTGCACAGCAGAGAGCTGTCCTCAGGAAAAGGAGCAGCCTCCTTCCTGTGGGGATGAATAATCCTGCAACACAAAATCCCAGCACGGAGCTGGATGGCTCTGACCTCTGGGCTGAGGATGCAGCTCCTCCAAATGCCTGTCCCACCTCCCAGCCCAGCTGCTGTGGCTGCTGGAGAGGCTGGCTTTGCTCTCCCCACCCCAGGGAAGAGCTCTGCTGCTCCCAGCCCTGTCCATGCCAGAAGAACTGCCAGAAAAACCCACTTGGCTGCTGCTCCCTTTTCCCTAACGTTTCCTATCCCACCTGCTCCCTCCACCACCTTCAGATGTGCATCCCTGGGGGCACCAAGCCCTGTGAGGACCTTCTCCAAGCAGCCACGTCCCCAGCTACCTGCAGGCCCTGGGAGCAAAGCCCTGTTCCCACCTCAGAATTGCCATTTTCTGCCTCTCTCAGCACTCTAAGGCCCCAAGCAGCCCCATGTTCAGCGTTGCCATGGCAATGGCTGCCCAGGAACTGCACAGTGGGGATGCAGAGGGATGGCAGAGCCCGGCCAGGCAGAGGTGCCTGTGGCCACTTCCCAGCTGGTACAGTTGTCCCTGGCACCCACAGCCCTTTCTCCCCCAGCTGAGAAGCCCACTCTGGGCTCATGACACGAAGCAGGAGCTGTGGATGGAGGTAGCTCCACATCCCACCAGTGCTCCATGTGCCCAGCACCCTTGGTCCAGCTCAGCCCAGGGCTGTAGGAGAAAGCACAGCAGGAACATGTCAGGAGCAGATGCTTTGGGCTATTAATGCATTTGCATATGTAGATTTTATGAGGCTTTTTTTTTTCTTATGACTCCTTACCATAAAAGCTAAGCTCCCTTCAGATCTGCCCGAGTCCCAGACCCCAAGTGGTCTCACCTGGCTGCCCTCTGAGCTGTGTCCTGCCCACAGCAGAGCCCCCCGAGCTGTGGAGGCCACACCACGGCCAGGCCACCAGCTTTGGTGTGACACAACCAGCCATGCCACCTCCTGCAGGGCTGGGGCAGCTGGCCAGGGTGAGCAACCAGGCAGCAACCAGCAGGACTCATGGAAGACCTTCTGCTGGGCATGGCCAAAGGCTAAGTTTTCACCTGTGCTGACACTGCCTTCATGATGACTCACAAGTGCTCCTAAAAATCATGTTTCATTGTCCCATCAGCCTCCAAAGTGAGAGCCTCAGAGCCATGAAGGAACACAAAGGCTGGCATGAAAGGCAGGGACAGATGCTTTTGCTAACGCTCCCAAAATATTACTCACTGTTTGAGTACAGAGGGGTCTGTTGGGAAATCACAAGTGAAATACTGTTTAATTCATGAATTTAGGTAGATGAGAAAGTAAGTTTGTTGAGAAACATTGCCTTCATCTCAAGCTGGTTTTTGCATCTGTGGCTTGATGGGAGCCACGAGTGAGACAAAATTCCACCAGTCTGGCCGTCCCAGCTCCAGCTTTCCCAGTCTGGGTGCTTTCCCCAGTTGACATTTTGCTCCTCTGCATTATTTTGCAGTCTTGGGTTTGGGGCTGAATGAACACCAAGACCCCTCCACAATCAGCCCATGGACCCACATTCCACGTTTCAAGGGGCACTTCCCTATCTGTGGCAGGTTTGCTGGGACCTGTTAAAGGGAACAGCAGATTTTTCTTACCTGAGAAATGCACTAAACAGGAGCCTCTCAGTCCTGGATTGACCTTCCCATGCCTGCATCTCCCAGCCCACCATTCACATCCCATGGCTTTGTCCACCAACACCAGGAAAACTGCCCAGGCTGGAGGTCCCCCCTCTCTGCTGACCAGTCATGGGCTGCACAGCCTCTGAGGGAAGGTTTTCCTCTTCTCCAACCTGAACCTGCCAGTTTGTGGCTGTGTCCCTTCCTAGTTTTGTCTGACACAAGCTGACAGCACCCAATACGTACCCGTGGGTTTGTGGCACATGTGGCTTCCTGGGAACACATTGCCATGGCAAACTACCAGCTCCCCTGCTTCCCTTTGCAAGGGCAGAGAAGGTTCCTGCTGGACTGACCTAGTCAGGTAAAACCACCACCACACAAGCAGATCCAAGCTCTGTCCCTGGTCAGAGCTGCAAATGAACCAGGAAAGGTTTAATGCTGGCCCTGGGCTACTCCACCACCTCAAGGCCTCCTGGCTGGGGGTGTTATAGCCCAAATTAGCCAAATGCTGCACTGGGGGTCCCTTCCAACCTCGAGCTGTTTGCTGCTCTGCCAGCAGCAGGGTGAGCCAGCCCTGCACGCTGCCAGCTTTGCTTTCTCTGAAGCTGCAGCACCTCTGGTTCTCAAGCCAGCAGAGCAGCTCCATGAGAGCCTGTCCTCGGGGTGAAGAGCCCAGCCACATCCAACAGAGGTGTAGGGAGGTGAAGGCTGAGCCAAAGGCAGCAGGATGAGAGAACAGAGGGCTCTAATTCAGAAGTCAGGATTAACCGTGTCCCCAAGACCTTCCCCATGGAGAAGCTCTTGCAGTTCCAAATTCACTCTTGCAGACCCATCAGCACCCCCTGCTGCAGTGGGACTGCCCAAAGGCTCCTGCTACCTCTTGTCACTCAACCAACCTTCCCAGGGCAGCAGCTCCTGCAGACCAGGCAGGCCCAAGGAGCAGCACTGAAGAACAGAGCCAGCGGTGCCCGGGGGCAGCCAGAGTCAACTGGAATTTTACATCACTGAAACCTCCCAGCCCCCCTAGCAGCTGGTAACTGCCACCCCTCAGCCATCCCAAACAGCCCCCTCACTGCTGAGGGGCTGCGAGGCACTGGGGGACCCCCAGGGCTGCAGGAGGGGGGCAGGCAGGTGCCAGCCACGCTCCACCCCGCTCAGACCCGCACGGCACGTTCCAGTCCAGCTCCAGAGGAGGTCGGGGCAGAGTCACAGGCTGCAGCTTTGCTCAGAGCTGCATTAAAATGCATGAGCTGTGCTAGCCCTAATGATGAGCAGAGCTGTCAAACAAGGAACTTGTCCCAGCTAATTATGTCTAACGAGGGCAGAGTGTCAGGGTCCCCGAGGAGCTGGGCAGCAGCTTCCCTCTCAGCTCAGCTGCAGAAGAAGGAGAAGATGAGCAAATGTCATTGTGCTGGCCTAGCTGCAAAATCATTAATTAGGCAGATGTGACCTTCTGTGCCAGTTTGCTCTTAAGAACCTGGACTCAGCAGAGCTGAGATACACAGGCAGGCTGGAAACATCCCAGCTTTTGCCACCCAACGTGTCCCCTGCAGTACTGAGTGTCCTGCACCCCTGCAGACACAGGGTGGCCCCAACCTGGCAGCCCCTGACCAGCCAGCCCAGGGCTGCACAGCTGGGCCACACTCACCCGGAGCTCAAACACCCCTTGTGAGGGCTCCAACACACTCCCTGGCCCAAAAAGCAGCAAGAGAAGTCTGGTTTTCATGAACCACCACCATTTAGATGGCATTTACCTCATCCCCCTCCCTCATCCCCAGCCACCCAGCACAGAGGCTCTGTGCCCACCCCACAGCACCTCTCCCCCAAATCCTTAGGGCAGACAGTTGGGCACTGGGAATTTCTGCTCCCCTGAGGTCCTGCTCCATTCCAGGGCAGAAGGGATCAGCCACACACTGTTCTAGAAGCCCAGTTTCTCTCTTGTAACAGTTCCTGTGGCTTAGAAACCAAGACTATACACTTGCCCTGATGTGCTAGGGAGGGGAGCAGGTCTCATCCCCAGGCCAGGTTAAGGCAAAGTCTCCTCCTGGGGTGACAGCTCACACGAGGTCCACCCTGCAAGCTCTGGGCCTGTCCCTCCCCTCAGAGCTGCAGGGAAAGGGAGCAGGGGCTGCTTCTGCTCCAGCCTCAAACCCTCTGCAGCACCAGTTTGCAGCCACCAGTGACACACAGCAGTGCCCAGCATGGAATCCTGGTCAGTGCTTTTCAAGTCACTCGGTGCCAGACAGAACCAAGGGCTTGAGCACCCACTTCGACTACGGGAACACGTAAAAGTCACCAAACAGAAACGGTGCTGGAGGCCAAGGGGTTAGGGGGAGCCGGAAGGGGAGCTCAGCCCCACCTGCCGGCAGGGCCTGCTTGAAGCAGGGGTTTGGGGTCATGCTGCTTTCAGGTCCCAGCTGCAGCAGGCTGGGGACTGATCCAAGTCACACCACCATGCCCCAGAGTCTCTGCTGTAACAAGCTAATGAGCACACTAATGAATATCAGAGAAACGTTTACTGATATGCTCAAAATGCATATTTCATTTTAAACCATGATCAAGCTCTCAGCAGCAGCCAACTACTCATACAGGCAGAAGAACCACAGTCAGTCTTACAGAAGCACTTTCAGAGGCCACAGGACAGGAATTTTTTCCTCAGCCCATAGGAATGGCTCCTCACTGAATTCAGGCCACCATTAGACTTCAATAATTGCAACACACTCTTCATGTGGCCTCTTCCACACATTGTGGTTCAATCAGAAGACCCACTGAACCCCATAGCTTGGCCTGCAGCAGGGAACATCTTGCTCCAGATGTTCCTTTCCTTCTACTGCTTCTGCAGAGCCTGTTCCTTCAGCTGGCTGACAAGCTCTTCAGCATACACCTTAAAGAGTGGGACAGGGTCCTGAAACAAAGCAGAGGATAAATCACTTAAGAGGGAGTGAACCTGAGCAGCAGCAAAGCCTGGGTGAGCTCAGGGAGCCAGTGCAGCAGGAGTGCAAAGAGTTAACACCACAGAAGGAGGGGTCATGTCTTTTTCAGTGGCTAAACAAGACAAGCTGCTCCTCTAGACACAGTTGGTGCTCAGCTCTGTAAGCAGAACTCACCTCTGCCTCAGGACCAGCAGGACATGCAGCCTGATGTTCCTCAGACATCTCTCTTTGCTGAGTACTGTCTCAGGAACTTACCTTTTTTTCTAGGAGCCTCTGTTTTTCTATTGCTTCCTCTAAACTCAAGCCAACCCACTCAGCTTCCTCTTCTGGGATCACAAATTCCTGTGATGAAAGAAGAAGCAGGTAGTGCAGTCTTTCCAAGTAACTAAGATGCAAAACCAACTCACACAAAGACACAATCCAGGAGGAATGTTACTACAGACTATTCTGACAACACTGCTCCCTCATTTCTGGCAACCAAAGTCCACTTCCCCTCTCTCCTTTACCCTTTGCAGGGGTCCTGCTTCACCTGATGAGTTGTGTCCACTGCTGGGCCTCTCCTTTGTGCTGTTCTAGGACTGTTTCTGGGCACAACCCCAGGGAGCATGAATGTTGGTGGTGTTTCTAGGCTGTCACCCATCACCAGTTGCCCACAACCAGCCTGCACACAGGTGGTCTGGGGTCCTGGCTGCTGTCAGCAGTGCCAGCTCCTCCCAGTGCTTATCAGAGACCCTTGCTGACCTGAATCACAGTAAAAATACAGGCTTTGGTCTGCCTAAAATGCTCAGTACAGGAATAAGCAGCCCAGAGAAAGGCAAGAAAAACCTGACAAATTATGTTTAGACCTTCTCTGTCCCCACCCTTAAACCTTACAGGCATCAGCGCTGGGTTGTGCTGTGACAGGGTCATTATCAGCCTGGACAACCAGCAAAGGTCCCCAGAGAGCCCAGGGCAGGGCCTGCGGGGCAGGCACCCACCTGGTACTTGTTATAGATGGCCTCTCTCCTGGCTGGATCATCGGGGTGCAGCCTGGGGTCGCGCCGCGCCAGCCGCAGCAGCATCGTCCGCTTCAGGTCCATCCCCAGCTTGGAGCACATGTCGGCTTTTGGGGTCTGGGGAAACACAGCCTGAGGTGAAACGGTGCCCAGAGGCCTTCTGCTAGGGAGCACAGCAGCCTGTCAGCATGGAGACACCACCAGTTTATCCACACGCTGTGGAGACCCTCAGGGAGCTCGTTCGGAGTGTTTGCTCCCCCCTAGTGAGACACCCTGGAGGGCTGGGTCCTGTTCTGGGCCCCCCAACACAGGAGGACATGGAGCTGTTGGAGCAGGACCAGAGAAGGCCACAGAGATGATGGAAGGGCTGGAGCAGCTCTGCTCTGGAGCCAGGCTGGGAGAGTTGGGGTGTTCAGCCTGGGGAAGAGAAGGCTCCAGGGAGACCTTAGAGCACCTTCCAGTGCCTGAAGGGGCTCCAGGAAAGCTGGGGAGGGACTTGGGACAAGGGCAGGGAGGGAGAGGACAAGGGGGGATGGATGAAAACTGGCAGAGGGGAGATTGAGGTTGGACATGAGGAGGGAATTCTTTGGTGTGAGGGTGGTGAGAGCCTGGCCCAGGTTGCCCAGGGAAGCTGTGGCTGCCCCATCCCTGGCAGTGTTGAAGGGCAGGTTGGATGGGGCTTGGAGCAGCCTGGGCTGGTGGGAGGTGTCCCTGCCCATGCAGGGGGGTGGAAATAGATAATCCTTAAGGCCCCTCTCAACCTAACCCATTCCATGGAAGGGGAAAGAGCCCTGGGGTTTGCTCTGGAGCTCACCTGGCCAAGGCCAGGTCCCTGCTGGCACAGGGTGCTCGGGCTGGCGGCCCCAGCCCCGGGGGGGGCTCCTCACCTTCAGGATGTAGAAGTCGAACCCATAAGCCTCGTCGATGAGGTCCAGGGTCCGCATGGTGACCGTGATGGTGAGCGTGGCGTCCAGGATCTCGCTGTAGAACTGCCGCTCGAACAGCTGCGGCTTCCAGGGCTTTGGCAGCCGCGGGGAGAGC